TTATTGATTTTTCAACATTTTGGTAGTTAGTTATTATTATTTGGAAAAAACTTTATAAATATTAAAGATAAGTACTAAAAATAACATGTGATTACGAGATACCAGATACTTGATAAACAGAGATTTAGTCAAGAGGTACTAGATTAACAGATACTAAACAGAAAAGCTTACAAAAAATACGCATATATTTATTGTTGATAAAATATATAAAAATTAAAGATAAGTACTATTGATAACATGTGATTACGAGATACCAGATACTTGGTAAACAGAGATTTCGCCAAGAGCTACTAGATTAACAGATACTAGAATAAAAGATAAAAAAATAAGAAATATAAACAGATACAAAACTGAAAAACTTACCGAAAATATACTTATATTTATTGTTGAGAAAGTATAAATAAATACATAACAAATTTAGATGAAAAGATAAATAGATACCTTTTTTACATTCTTCAGATAAGACGAAATTATATTAATAGATGAAGATACATTCTTTACATTCTTAATAATCTTTAATAATCTTTAATAAGAAAGGAAAAGATAAAAATTCCAGTTACTGGTAAATGTGACAATAGTAACATTATTTACATGTGTTCTGAATTAATTAATTGTATGAAAAACTATTTTTTAGAAGCTATATCTTTTCAATAAATTGAAAGAAATCATGTCGAACAAAGAAGAAACTGTTAATTTAAGTGTTACAGATTTTAATATTATACTTACTGAAGGAGGAATGTTAAATGATACTTATATTAATGAATTCGAAAAATTATTAAGAAGAGAATCAAAATCTTCCTTTAGCATGCATAGCACTTTGTATTTATATACGCTTGAATTTATTAGTCCGATTAAAAAAGGTAAAAAGCATATTCAAATACTTTTTAGTGGACCTATCAAGAAAGGTCATTGGATTTGCACTTATTATGATGAAATGAGACTTTATATTTATGATAGTCTTAATGAAGGAAGTTTAAATGAAGATCAAAGGAAATATTTAAGTAGATTATATCTTTTTAAACCTCCAGTAGTTTTCACAACTGTTGATCAACAACCAAACAATAGTCTTGCTTGTGGAATGTATGCAATAGCATTCGCAACATCAATATTTTGTAATATTATGCCCCATTCTGTTAATTACTATTATTATAACATGAGAAATCATTTAATGTTAATGTTCAAAAACAATCGTTTAAGTGAATTTCCGTCAGTAAGGTCGACTAATATTAGAACTATGACTGTTAAATATAATTGGGAGTGTCATCTTAGGAATCGAGCTAGAGAAAAAAGTTTCCAAAATAAAGAAAATAAAATTGTTGACAATAATTTATCATCGTTGAATTCAACCAGCAATGTGAATCATTGGATTCTAATGAATTCATTAGTGCAGAGCAAACTTTAAATACGAGGCCCCAAAGCACATCCACAGCTTTATCATCAGCAGAAGAAAATATTTCTACTTCTAAAGTTAAAACGTCAATTCGTGACAGAAATGTTGCTTACAAACGCACCTCTCGTCAAAATAAACATACTTCTATTCAAAAACAAAATCAGTCTGATATTATTTCAAAGACACATATAGAGACAGGTTATTGTAATGCAATGAACATTACACGTGATAATTCTTATGTAAAACTTTGTGAACATAAAGTTAACAGTGAATTATTTATAAAATCAAAAACTAATAGAAATGAGGGAGAAATTATTATAAACAGAAGTTTGCAAAGTATGCCTTCAACATCAGCGCAGAATAATAATAGTAGGGGAGACTGGGGTAAACCCGCTCACTTTTTTTCAGATCGGTAAAAATCTAGGAAATTATTCTCTAAATCCAAGTTAATTTATATCATTTGAAAGCTTCTGATTTCTACTAAAAAAATAAAAAAGAGTTTTTGATTTATCTTTTTTAGTTTTACTTAGAAAAACTTTTTAATACACATGTACCAAATTTCGAAATTACAATTTTCCAGGGTAAACCCGCTCACTTTATCTTTTCAAGACGGAACAGATTTATTTTTTAAATATTAAAATTCGTCTTATTCCCGTCTTAAGTGTGATTTATTATTGATAAACTATGAGTTCTATAAACAATTCTATAAACAACAAATTGGTTTAATAAATAATGAATATAGGTTTCATGAATTACAAATATGGATTTAAATAATGTTATATTTTATTAAGAGAAAATGAAATGTAGTTACAATTTTAGTTTTAACAAGTCATAAATAGTGTTATTGTTAAAATATAATACGTGAAATTATTTTACTCTAAATTTTAAATTAAAAACTAAGTGAGCGGGTTTACCCCGACTTCACGTGAGCGATTTTACCCCGAGTGTATTCCTCACATTTCAGAATAAATTTAATTAAATCTTTTTGAAATAAGATAAAACTATACATGTACTTTGAAAAAGGACATCCAATAGCAACAAAAAAAATTTGTCAAATAAATTAAGACTCAAAAATAATGATCTAAAAACTTAAAAATAAAAAAAAACGTTTTTTCTGATACCTCTAAAACATTTGATTGCCTCTGATTCTATGTTGAATTCATGAAACTAAACGAAAGTTCGTTAATATAAGTTGAATGTTAAGTATTATTCACAGTATCAATATCTCCATCTTAAGTTGAGTTCATCGCGTTAAATCGCTAGTGAGCGGGTTTACCCTGTGCGCGGGTTTACCCCAGTCTCCCCTACATCAGGAGAAGTAATACACAAAGGAAATTATAAAGACAAAGATAATGTAATTATTGAAAATGCAACAATTAATTCAAAAATCAACAGTTCAGAGGAAACTTTTAATAATAGACAATTACAATGCATGACTTCGATCATTAGATAATTGTATTTATTCAAGAAATGTTACAAAATATACTAATTTAAAAAATAAAAATCAAGTAAAAAAAAGAATAATAATACGTTCTTTAGAGGAAGAAGAACAACATCAAGTCATGAAACGTCAAAAAAAGCTGCTTTTCAAAGAAAGTTTCGACAAAAAAACAAGATAATAATAGAATTCTTAATCCTCAATCAATCCAAACAAAGGATAGTATTATTACAGTGGCTAAACCAAATATAAATTCAGCAAAATCCTCTACAACTGTTAATACATCTTTAGCAAAAGATAATGTAACTGTTACAGCAAACTTATCAAATACTAATATTTCTGGTCGTCAAAAAAATGCAGCTTATCAAAGAACTCATCGCCAAAAAACGTAATTCTGCACAGAATCAAAATTTCTCTGACAGTATTTCAGTCTCGCATATAGAAGAACATTTTGCTGGTGCGATAAGCATTTCATGTGAGCATTGTAATGCTAAACATTTCCAAGCAGAAAGAGTACCTATCTAATAAAAAGAATTCATTTCATGATTGTTGTAAACATGGCGAAGTCATTCTTGAAGATCTACCTGCTCCTCCACTCATATTACAAAATTTATTTGATGGCACCCACGAATTATCTGGGCATTTTCTTCATAATATATACGACCTTACAATAATTCATTTGGTTTTGCTTCTTTCAACGCTAACTTAGTTAATTTTAACAATAGACGACCAGGACCATATTGTTTCAAAATACATGGTCAGGTTTATTATCAAATGAATACATCTTTGTATGCAGAAAGAAACGAGACGCATGCTTATTCCCGAAATCTTTTTTGATCAAATAGTTATTTGATATAAAACTACTTAACTTAAAATTCACATAATATGCACATTATTTGACATAAATTTCATTGCACACAAAAACCATTTAACATAAATATCATTTGTCATAGAATTCATTAAACAAAAATATTATGTTACATAAAACTCAGATAACTTAATTCCCATTTGACATAAAAATTATGTAACATAAATTTCTATTAAAATAAAAATCATTTAACATAAATTTCTTTTAACATAAAACTCATTTAACGTAAATTTTATTTGTTATAAAATTCTTTTGACATAAATTTCATTTGGCATAAATGTCATTTAAGGGGGTATTCTGGTGTTTCGGTTTCAAAAAATCGATTTTTTTTTTGTTGCATATTTCGGAAGTACTATATTTGGAGAATTCACTGTCTAAATATTAGCCCGAAATACCAAGTATTATGGAAGTAACATCTCATAGTCGAGATCAGGTTAGGACCGCACAGTGGGGAGAATCGTGAAAACATACCAAAAACATCAAAACATTCTTCGATTTACATAATGCTTGGTAGTCTTATGTTTTCCGGGTTGCTGATTACGAATCCGATGTCAGATTTTAAAAATTCAAAATGGCGGATCCAATATGGCGGCCGAAATTTTTAAAAATCGATCCAATTTGCCTGAAACTTGCAACTCGGTGGTTTTTGAGGTCGTTGATTACGAATATGATATCACTTTTCAAAAATTCAAAATGGCTGATCCAATATGGCGGCCGACATTTTTAAGAATCGATCTAATTTGTTTAAAAATTGTTATTCGGGGGTTTTCGGGGTCACCGATTACGAATCCGATGTCAGATTTTCAAAATTTTCAAAATTAAAAATAGCGGATCCAATATGGCGGTCGATTTTTTTAAAATTCGATTCAATTTGCTTAAAAATTATTAGTCGCGGGCTTTTGGGGTCGCTGATTACGAATCCGATGAATTTTTAAATTTTTCGGTCGCCATATTGGAAACGACATTTTGAATTTTTGAAAACTGATATCCTATTTGTAATCAGCGACCCCGAAAACCTTCGAGTAACAATTTGCAAGCCATTTAAATGATTTTTATTTTTCGTCCGTCATATTGGATCTGCCACTTTGAATTTCGAAAATTTTGAAATTTTGACACCAGATTCATCATCAGATACCCCGAATACCCATGAGTAAAAATTTTCAGGCAAATTGAATCGATTTTTAAAAAAATCTTCCACCATATTGGATCCGCCATTTTGAATTTTTGAAAACTGATATCAAATTCGTAATTATCGACCCCGAAAATCCCCGAGTAACAATTTTTTAAGCCCGTCTGAATGATTTTTATTTTTCGTCCGCCATATTGGATCGGCCATATTCGAAAATACTGAATAAGTAATTCGGACTAAATATTTCAGTTTTACCTGAAAGTCAATTACTACCAATTCCGTTTTGATATTTCGCTAACTTTTTAATTTTTTTGAAATCCGTAATATTCTGAAGTAAGTACGTTTAAAATCAAATATCTATAGTACAGTTGATATAGCTGCGCGAAATAGTTGTTTGGCTCCGGCATTGAAAATCGAAGGTTCAAATCTTCGGACCGTCAAATTTTTTTCTACATAAAATTTTAAAACGGAATTCATAAGAATTAAAATATTTTAATTCTTTTCAATTTCTCGCTTCTTACTGGGTGACTGAACATCGTATGACAATGGATAGGAAGAAAACGAGAAGTAGCAGAATTCGTCCAAGTTTTGGTGATAAAAAAAGAAACTTTCGCGGTAATCGATACACAACGGGAAAAAAAATTGAATTTGTCAGTACATCATCTCGCAAATTGAAAGATAGTGGTGATTTTGATGTAACGTACGATGACACTTTTAATTATAGTTTGTTGAGCTTCAGTTTAGTTTTTACAGCGTTGCAATCTTTAGTGAAGTGTAAATTGTGTGATGGTGACGTACAATTTCTTAAAAAATCTCCGCAGGGATTGGGATTTAAAGTAGTCGTGAAATGTTCTTGCCAGGAATCTACAATAAACTCTTGCCCAATGATAAAAAATGCATATGAAGTCAACAGGCGATTTTGTTTTGCTATGCGGCTACTTGGTGTCGGTTTGGCTGGCATAAACATGTTTTGCTCAATAATGGAACTGGGTTCTGGAGTCAGTATAAGTTGCTTTTACTCATTGCTTGAAAAGATACATACTGCCGTAAAAGCCGTATCTGAGATGGTTTTAAAAAAAGCAGTGAATGAAGAAAAACAGAAGAACATTGAAAAGGGTTATCCAGAGGACGAGCTCACTGTGTCTGGCGATGGTTCATGGGCAAAGCGTGGATTCACATCACTTTTAGGAATTGTCTCGCTAATCGGAAAATATTCGAATAAAATTGTGGATGTGATAGTACTATCAAAAGTATGCAAAGCTTGTGAAAAGTGGTCAGGAAGAGAAGATACTGATGAATACTTGGAATGGTATGAGGATCATAAGGATAATTGTTCAGCAAACCACGAAGGAAGTTCGGGAAAAATGGAAGTGGACGGAATAATCGAAATGTTTAAAAGATCTGTGCAACTTTTTGGTGTGAAATATAAGCAATTCATTGGCGATGGTGATTCAAAAACATTTACAAATCTATTGCAAGCTGATCCTTATGACGGCAAACCTGTAGTTGAAAAAAAAGAATGTGTATTACACGTTAAAAAACGTATATACAGACGTGTTAAAGACGGCAAAAAATCACTAACGCAGTATTTGAAAGCAAAGAAACAACTCGAAGAAGCCGAAAATAAGAAATCTAAAGGACAAGAACTCGAACGTGCACCGAAAAGGCGTAAAACAAAAAGAAATTCATCGGCTAATAGCGGTGCTGTAAAAATTAAAACTCTCTCCTTGACTAATAAAGTAATGATAAAGCTCAGCACATATTATGGACTAGCAATTTTAAGAAACTCGGAATCTCTTGAAGAAATGAAGAAAGCTGTATGGGCAACGTACTACCACCTAACCTCCACAGACAAAAAACCGCAACACTTTTACTGTCCAGAGGGATTGACTTCGTGGTGCGAATATCAGAAACTCAAAGCTCAGAATCAACAAGATACTTTTTCACATCCACCCGCATTTGATGAAGATATAGCGAAAATTTTAAAGCCAATTTACGAAGAATTATCGTCGAATGATCTGTTGGAAAGATGCTTAGGAAAAAATACACAGAATAACAACGAAAGCTTTAACAGCTGCGTTTGGAATATGGCTCCGAAGCATATTTTCGTTGGAAAAAAAACATTAGAAATCGCAACACTAACAGCAGCATGCACATTCAATGAGGGATTTATGCCTATCTTAAAAATTATGGAGGTTATGGGTGTCCAAATCGGCACGAATGGTATGAATTACGCTAAAAAGTACAACGAGTTAAGAATTAGGAGGGCAGAAAAAAAAGCATCCGAAACATCGAAACAGGCCAGGTCTTCGCGAAGAGCGGATAGAGTCGCTGAAAATGATGCCTATGAAGAAACTGAAGGCCTGCTTTACGCACCAGGGATTGCCGATTAATGTAAGTATAAATTAAAAAAAAAACTACAACCAAAATTTCTATTTTAAATTTCAAAACTGAAATTTTCGTCCGCCATTTTGAATTTTTTAAAACTAACACCGGATTCGTAATCAGCGATCTCCAAAACCCCCGAGTAACGAGTTTCATGTAAATCCGATGAATTTCTCAAAAGTGTCCGCCATATTGGATCCGCCATTTTAAATATTTCAAAACTAACATTTAATTCGTAACCAGCGACCCCGAATACCCCCGAGTAACGAGTTTTAGGTGAATCTAATAATTTTTAAATTTTTTCGTCCGCCATATTTGATCCGCCATTTTAAATTTTTAAAAACTAACACCGGATTCGTAACCAGCGACCTCGAAAACCCCCGAGTAACAAGCTTTAGGTGAATCTAATGATTTTTAAATTTTTTCGTCCGCCATATTGGATCCGCCATTTGAATTTTTAAAAAATAACACCAGATTCGTAACCAGCGACCCCGAATACCCCCGAGTAACGAGTTTTAGGTGAATCTAATAATTTTTAAATTTTTTCGTCCGCCATATTTGATCCGCCATTTTAAATTTTTAAAAACTAACACCGGATTCGTAACCAGCGACCTCGAAAACCCCCGAGTAACGAGTTTCAAGCGAATTTAACCATTTTTGAAAATGGTTTATAGTTGATTAATCAACTATAAATTAATTAATTAATTACTATTGTTTAACTTTAAACGCGTTTTTTTCGAAATGACATTTTTTATAGCTGCGGTGGTAATTAAAAAAAATCTATCCGTCCGATTGCTCTAATTTTTTTACAGCTTATTCTACACAACCATGGCTATGGCCCGTACTAGAATCACGTACTTTTAATAACAACTTTGTTTTATTTTTAACTTTTTGTCAATAAAAAACAGAATATTTTCGAACCTTTTTGTTTATAAGTCCGCCATTTTGTTATTTTTTAACAAAAATGTTTCATTCTAGTACGGGCCATAGCCACCGGCATATAGAACAATAATCAATTTGATTTTTTTGTTTCAGATGACGTCATCGGATGTCATCATCACCGCAGGCCACGTATATAAATATTTTATTGTTAAATTAATTGTTTAATAATTAATAAAAAATTTAATAAAAGTATTAAAAAAAAATTTTTTTCAACAGTTGTTAACATAAATGAAAAGTTAGAAAAGTATTTAATCGGATTATATTTTATGTTGTATTAAAAAAAAATTTTGAAATAACCTTCCAAAACAGGGCCGAACACCAGAATACCCCCTTAACGTAATTCTCAATTGACATAAATATCATTAGACATAAAATTAGCTTGACATAAATTTCATTTGACGTGAATATCATTTAACATAATTATTATTTAACGTAAAATTAAATTTATATAAATTTCATTTAGCATAAATACCATTTAACATAATTCTCATTTGACATAAAATTTACTTGACATAAATTTCATTTGGTGTAAATCCCATTTAACATAATTTTCATTTGACATAAAGTTCATGTGATATAAAAGACATTTAACACAATTCTCATTTGTCATAAAAATCATTTCACACAAATTACATTCTACATAAAAATCATTTCACACAAATTACATTTTACATAAAAATATCGGCGCCAATTTTAAAAGTAACCAATTAGATATTATCAACAACATTGTGATTCGCCAATTTTGAAATTCGCGCCTATATTTCTAGGTCAAATGATCTTTATGTAAAATGAAATCTATGACATCTGAATTTTATGTCAAATGAGAATTATGTGTAATGACTCATCCGTCAAATGAAATTGATATCAAGTGAACTTTATGTCAAATGAAAATTATGTTAAGTATATTTTATGTCAAATGAGAATTATGTTAAATGGAATTTATGCTAAATGAAATTTATATAAATTTAATTTTACGTTAAATAATAATTATGTTAAATGATATTTATGCCAAATGAAATTGATGTCAAATGAATTTTATAACAAATAAAATTTACGTTAAATGAGTTTTATGTCAAAAGAAATTTATGTTAAATGATTTTTATGACAATAAAAATTTATGTTACATAAAACTCAGATAACTTAATTCCCATTTGACATAAAAATTATGTAACATAAATTTTTCTTAAATAAATTTAAGAATTAATAATTAATTAATTTAATTAATTTAATTTAATTTATTTTTTTATTTTATAAATTTTTTATTAACATAATATTTCTGTTTAATGAATTCTATGACAAATGATATTTATGTTAAATGGTTTTTGTGTACAATGAAATTTATGTCAAATAATGTGCATATTATGTGAATTTTAAGTTAAGTAGTTTTATATCAAATAACTATTTGGTTAAAAAAGATTTAGGGAATAAGCATGCGTCTCAAAGAAACGATACTCCTTCATTTGGACAGTTCTTTATTGTTGATCAAAACGAAGCTTCCGAAATTCGTTGTAAGAATAATGTTCAATTAAACCGAGATATTGTTGATGGAATCGATACAGCCCTTCGGGATTGTAACCTATTTGCACAGTCCTACCGTATGATGCATAAAGAAATTAAAAAAACGATGACTGAAAATAATGCAGAAATTGAGCCTGAGATGCAATTATTATTTTCATTAAAGCCTAGGATGGATAGTAGACGTTATAATTTACAAAGTGTAAATGAAGTTGCAGCAATTTTTACTACAACTGCTGATGGTGATCTTGATTATCATTCTCATAAACATTTCTTTTTCAATTTTTCTTTAAAACATTTATTATATTTGCGCCATTATTCTCATTGTAAGTACTCTTGTTTAAAAAAATTAAAATATTAAAAAAAGGAATGCGCAAGAGAAAAAACGCGCGCGCTGGAGCGCGCGATCGTTCTCATGATATAAATGATAGTTCATTCCAAAAGTTTTGACGCGGCCTTGCACCTCTAAACATTTTTTAAATGCAATTTGGTGGGACACAGAATAAAGAAATAGTCAACGGCAATCATGTAAACAATTCAGCCATTTTGAAAAAGTAAATTACGTATAAAACTGAGCACGTAAATTACGGACGTAATATACTGTAAAAAACTATGTAATTTACGTCAGGTAAATTACGTACGCAACCCTGGTAGGGAGTTGTTCCAAATGACTTCCAGATTCCAAATTTTCAAACTAATAAATCGTACCTGAACCTCTTTTCGAATTATCTCTTTTACAGATATTCGGAAACTTAAAAATGTATTATCTTAATGTGGAAGCTTTGATTCAGAAGACTGCTGTTTTTTTGTTATTTGAAAATTTTTTAGACAAAGATTTTATAGATAATTATGTTAATGATTTTGAGAAAAGTGTGGGTAGGGGAGAGTGGGGCAAGACGGGGTACTTTAGGTTTAAAGCGCCCGTGTGGAAAAAGGCCGAGTTAGCCATGACAATTAGGTTTCTGGTCAGGGGCTAGCTTGTAGTGGGGCTTCCCGGACATGGCACGTCTAGCGCCCAGATTCAATTTCTACACGGGCGCAAAAAAACGAAAATTATCGAATATATATTTTATTATTTTCTTTAATAACCATCTTTGGGAATCAGTCGTTAGTAATAAAGGCGTACAAAGGCCATCTGTTTCTTAAAAAATCATAAAATTTATAATATGGAAAAAATTGCAAATCTCCCCATCTTGCCCCACCGGCGCGGTACTAAAAAAGCAACCTATTTCTGTCGACAAATTTTACAAGTAAAGGTTGCATTTTCATCTTCGTCATCGACACCAGCACAACTGCACAAAGCCCATTGACCGCAGACAGAACAAGCAGCCCAGTCTTCATTTGAGTCTAAATAATAACCATTACAATTTATAGAGACAAGGTGTATTTTCCACTTTACCATCACTAATTATTGATTTAACCTGGCAAGCTTTAGTTTTTGTAAATACAACTGTTTTAAAAAATGATTGGATTGGTTTAAAATTTGTTACTCAGGGGTTTCGGGGTCGCTGATTGCGAATATGATGTCAAAATAAAAAAATCTGTGGACAGATTCCTAATCAGCGACCCCGAAACCCCTCGAGTAACGAGTTTCAGGCAAATTGAATCGATTTTTAAAAGTCGATCGCCATATTGTGAATTTTTGAATTTTGAATCTGTAAAGTTTAAAGAGTATTTTAAGACTAAAAAGAAAATAATCGCCGGAGCCCTTTTTGAGAAAATTTACTTTAAATATATTTTTTAATTTTATATTTTTAAATTGTTTAAAAAATCGACTTTTATTCCATAGAAACAGTGTGTTTATACATATTGCTAAGGTCAATCTGTAGAGAAAAAGTCTTGAAAATTTAATGTTAGTTTTTGATTAATTAATTTTGTGTTCTTACGGTCTTTCAAGTAATTTTAAGATGCCGAAAATTGGTTAGTAGGTAACTTGATATGGTCAAAGAAGTTTTCGTCAAAATTAGTGAAATGTATTTTTAACATATGTATTTCACGCTCCGAAGAAAGGTACCTAAGAAGCAAAAAATTTGAGGTTATGTTTTCCAATTTTTTGAGTAAAAATACGGAAAGAAAATCAATTATTAATTAATAATTATTGATCTTCAAATCTTCATTAAATAAAAAATATTAAATAAAAATTTGTTTCAAATTCAAATAATTAGAAATAAACTTTTCATCAAGATAAATCTAACTCGAACCTAACCTATAATTCGTTTGCCTCTTAGGTACCTTTCTTGGGAGCGAGTCACATATTTTTTTGGTTTTTTAAACATAAATAGCAAACCTTGGTCCGACTTTCTCCATGTGAGAAATTTTAAATTTAAATTAAAAAAATTAAATTAAAATTTTAAATAATAATAATACTAATAATAATAATTTTTTTTTAAATTTTTATATTCATTTTAATTTTAAAATTTAATTACATTTAAATTTTCGACATCTTAAAATTACTTGAAAGACCGTAAGAACACAGAATTAATTAATCAAAAACTAACATTAAATTTTCAAGACTTTCTCTCTACAGACTGACCTTAGCAATATGTGTGAACACGCTGCTTCCCTGGAATTATATTTGAATTTTTAAACAATTTAACAATATAAAATAAAAAAATATATTTAAAGTTAATTTTCTCAAAAAGGGCTCCGGCGATTATTTTCTTTTTGGTCTTAAAATGCTCTTGAAACTTCACAGATTTCAAAATCTACAAGAAAATTTCAAGTGCAGGGACTTTTTATAAAAACTCATTTCAGGCGCACCGTGCAACTGTTGAAAAATCAATTCTGACAGTTAATTTAGTTTCTTGTTGGCAATATTGCTATATTTTCGTAAAGTATAGGGTTCTAGCTTTAATTTAACTCATATGACAAGTCTCTAGCACGTCGGATTTACCCAGTAGAAATTTTCAAAAACTACTAAAAAATTATTTTGGGTATTTTACCCCCAATTTTTTTAAAATCCTGACGTAATGGGAGGTTTTAGTTAAATGTTAATTCGGATTTAGCGCACCAAAAGCTACAGTAAATGACTTCTCGATCTTAGACCACGGAAATTTTTTTTGCAGGCTTCTGAAATTATATATATATATATTCATATATATAGCACTTTAACATGTGACAGACGTGTCCAAATTTAAAAAATCAAAAAGTTTCTTGAAGAACAGACAATTCGGAACCATAACACAGGCACACAAAAAAATAAAAAAGTCAAAACCCAGAGGTTACACCCCCCTATCCCCATGTTTTTGGGGTCGCTGAAACCGAATATGACCATGAAAAATTTTTTTCATCGGCCATTTTCCCGCTACCAACCCCTTATACCTGCTCCCGGGGGTTGGAATTTCAGTTTTAAAAAAAGTGGAGTAGGGTGTCTATTCATACGTTTTTTGGGTCGCTAAAACCAAAAAAGACTACCAAAAACAAATTCTTCCCTTCCTTAACCCCCTACAACCCCCTTAACACCCGAAAGGTTGGAGGTCGAAATTCGAATTTTCACGAAAAGTAGATTACGGTGTCTAACCCTACGTTTTTTGGGTCGATGAAACCAATAAAAACTACCAAAATCAAATCCTTTCCATCCCGACCCCCTACAACCCCCTGCAATAATTTTTTTCAAATAAAACGAAACGATTTT